ACTTGACATGGCTCGAGGAGCCACCTGCTGGGATGTATGCCCTTCGGCCCTCAGGGGGCCTCCTCCGCAATCGTCCCTTTGCTCCCCTGGCCAGCCAGAGATGGATCGCGGTCGTCTTGAGCTACTTAAAAGAAACTGCCGATTACCTCCGGTACCTTTTGTGCCAGAGCTGCCGGAGCCTGGGTCTCTGTTTGCCTCTATAGAAGGTGCACCATGGTGTTATTCGGTGAGATTTTTCGTTTTGCTCAGCAAGAATGCAACCGAGTAAGCAAAGAGCAACCCAACTCGCAACAAAAGAGAGGGCGGGAGAAAGCTGATGCCCCGACCTCCCCGCAAAGCGTGCAGAGGCAGCCCCGAAAGCTTGCTCAGGAGCTCGTGCTTGGGAGTGTGCTCGCTCCTCTCTGCGTGTCAGACCTCACGGCCCAGACTCTTGAGACTATCTTTGCCACCGATGCCTCCCTTGGCCGTGGCGCTGGGTGCTCTGCCCCTCTACCGAAAGAGGTTGCCCGATCTCTGTGGATTAACGCTGACCGTCGGGGGGCCTATTCACGCCTCGAGGTGGGCCCCAGGATGCTCCTCCGGGCCATTGGTGAACCGCCTTGTGATGAGGATGTTGAGGAGAGTGAGGTGAGCGAGAACCCCCCTCCCCGGCAGCCCTGCTTCATCATTGACGTGCTCATTATAGGGCGAGCTTCCCGTGCCTTCTCTTTCGAGGCGCGTCGTCTGGGCCTTCGGGTCGGGCCACCTTTGAATACCGGGTCCTCTGTGCACTTTGATTTGGGGTCTGCTGACCTCATCTTTTGGGTGCTCTCTGCTATTGAAGCGGGTGTTGTGAGGGCTGTCCTGGTGCTCCCACGCCTTTGTGCCTCAGGTTATAGGCCGCGTGCGTGGCCCGGCAGGGGACTTCAGGCGCAGAGGAATGACCGGAGGAGCGAGCTCAGAAAGGCTTTCGCTGGATGTTTGGCTTGTTTTAAACTTGCTGCGGCCCGGCGTATTCCTTGTCTTCTTGTTGCCTCTTCGCGCATTGCCTACCAAGGCCTCCCTGCTTTCAAAGACCTTAAGAACCGGCCAGGGGTTTCAGGTTGGCGCCTTGATCTCTGCCAGTATGGCTGGTGCACCCGTCAGCAATACGCGTGTTTTGGTGCAAACTTGCTCCATGGCGACCTCCATCGGAGGTGCAGGCCAAACTGCAGCTGTGCTCCTGCCTCCCTTGAGGGGCCTCCCGATCCTCTCTTTGGTGGGCTTTCTGTTGAGATTGCAAGCGTGTTTGCCCGCTCGCTGAAGGCTCTTACCTCTGAGCCAGAGCGCCCAGGCATCGAGAGTGTGGTTGTCAATGACGTGTTGAGCTCTGCTGCTTGGGCTGTTGATTTTGTTGTACCTTGGAAGGGAAAGTCACATATCAACACCCTCGAGCTCGGCTCTATCGGCATACTTGAGAGGAGGGTCGCCTTAAACCGCCCCCACTCACGCTTCACCGTGCTTGTTGACAGCTCCGTGGCAAAGGCTGCTTCAGCGAAGGGCCGCAGCACCTCTCTTGCTCTCCAACCCAGCTTGCGCCGAGCTATGTGTCATCAGTTGGCTTTCTCTCTGTACCCGGCCTTTGCGTTTGCCCCGACAAGGTTGAACGTATCTGATGATCCTACACGGTGCGCTGTTTTGCGGGAGCCCTCGTCGGTTGGCCTGCACAGGCTCTTGCCTGCGCCTGTTCTTCACAACCTCGGTCGCCTTCGCCTTAGACGGCCTCTCGCTTCCTGGGCTCGACTTACTTTGGTCGTTGTCTGCTCTTGGGCTGGACTTTCGGAGGCCTACCTCAGAACCTTGGGGGGCCGTTTTGCTCCTTTGCTTGACTGCGTCCCTGCAACGAAGACTTTACCGGGGCATTGCCGCCCGATTCCTCCCATCGACTTCGACTCCACTTTGGGCTTTCCTGGTGAGGGCCCCCTCCCCAGGCTTCTTGGGATTTTCTCCGTTTCTCCTTTTGCTGGGCTACTTGCCCCCCGTCGCGACTTCGGTCGCCTCGTGTGCTCCCTTCGGGTCGAGCTTTGCCCTTTTGGGCCGCCTTCGATGAACCACTGCCTTCTTCCTCCCCTCGACTTTGACTCCACGTTGGGCTTTCCTGGTGAGGGCTGGTCTTCTTTCTTCAGGGTGTTCGGGGTTGGGGTCTGCTGTGCCATGGCCATACCTGCGCCGAGGACTCCTGCTGACACAGAGAGAGCAAACCGTCGCTCCAGCCTTTTGTTAGTTGCCGACAGGGTGGTTAGGCCTGCTACCCGCAGCAACAGGGCAAAGCTTGCTGAGGATTTCTCAACTTGGCTGGAAGCTCACCAGGGGCGAACTTTGGGTGCGTTGCTCGAGCTCCCCTTTGACCAGGCTGAACAGATTGGCGAGGCGTTAGTTGCTTTTGGGCAGTTTCTTTTTCGTTCTGGCCAAGCCTACTACAAGTACTCGGAGACCATCAACGCAGTCGCCAGTCTACGGCCGGCTATCCGGCGTACTCTCTCGCGGCCTTGGGACCTAGCTTTTGCTTGGCTCACTGAAGAGCCCTATAACCATCACCCGGCTATGCCCAAAAGTATCCTCTTGGCTGTGATGTCGGTTGCTCTGATGTGGGGCTGGGCTGTTGAGGCCTCCATCCTTGGACTCACGTGGGCAGGCTTGCTTCGCATTGGTGAAACACTCGCTGCTACCCGCAACGACCTTGTGCTCCCGGACGACACTGCCCCTGGAATACAATACTTGTTGCTGCAGATTCGCTAGCCAAAGACACGAGGTAGGTCAGCTAGGCATCAAGCTGCACGTGTCGACCCTGTTGACATTGTGCAGCTGGTGTCTTGTTTCCTGGGCCCTCTGCCTCCTGCAGCTAAGCTTTGGCCATTCTCGGATGGTGTCCTTCGTCGTCGTCTTCGCACTATCCTTTTCAGGCTGGGACTACATGTCAATGGCGTGGCCTCCTTTGACTTGTCGTCGCTCCGGCCAGGTGGTGCTACGTGGATGTTGCAACAGACTGAGAACGCCGAGCTGGTTCGCCGTAGGGGCCGTTGGCTCTCTTCAAGGGTCATGGAAATATATCTTCAGGAAGTGGCTGCTCTCACCTACGTGCCGAAGCTGTCCTCGACAACTCGTGCTACTGTGGAACAGCTTGCCCTAGCTTTCCCCTGGATTCTCGCTAGAGCTACTTTCTTTGAGAAGTCGTTGATCCCTCGGAGGGCGTGGTTCTACTTGTTTGCTGGCCGCTCGACTTGCTCGAGCATGGGAGTGGTGGTGAGGTGAATAACTGTGATGGTCTGCTGCCCTGGCGTGGAAGTGGTGCTAGCAATAAGCTGTGTCACTCGTGATACGGTGACATGGTTTTGAAGGCTGCTCCTTTTTCTCCTTGTGGAGCTGCTTCGCAGCAAGCTGCTTCGCAGCGACAACAGACACTTCGCAGGACGGCGGAAGGCGGAAAAGTCTGGAGTGCGCAGCTGCTTGACAAGTAAGCAGCCAGCACAAAGATTTCTCCCGCTGCTCAAGCTTCCCTCCCGCCCACCCGTCGGCGGCTAGCAATAAGCTGTGTCACTCGTGATACGGTGACATGGTTTTGAAGGCTGCTCCTTTTTCTCCTTGTGGAGCTGCTTCGCAGCAAGCTGCTTCGCACCCTGATTGCTAATATACGTACCCTAAATAGTAGGATGCTTATTTTCAGGACCCCCAAATAAGGTACCCTAAATAGTAGGATCCTTCTTATAAGGACCCCCAAACATTGGTACCCCTTAAGTTTCGGAAACTCCCATGGTGGCTCCCGTAGTCATCTTCTAGACCAGGGGCAGATGCCGAGGCGACAACAGCAGCCAGTTCGGAGGCTTCCGGTATCATAGCCCTGGGAGCGTGGGGCCCACGACGTACCTGCCTTTGAGCTCTATGGAAATAGATCTGGTGCTGGATTGGGACGCCATGCCGCTGCCGCAACACCTGCTGGCTTTTGACTTGCAGCAGCCTGATGTCTTCAAGACTGTGCAGCTGGGCGATCTTCAGTGCGATGCTGAAGATGATGATGGAACCTGTCAGGAGGGTGACGGGTGCAGGGGAGATGCACTGATAGGCCCTCCAGAGCGTCCTCAACTTCTTCACGTCACGAAGTCGGGGTCCCGGTCTATTACCCTCGAGTGGCGCCCACACCCGGAAGGTCCAACTCCGGACAGTTATTTGCTGAGGGTAGACCCTGGTGCCCTTGAAGAAGTGTTGGACCACGATACCTTCGATGCTCTCACGAATGTACAGACATACACTGTCAACGGGCTGCGCCCGAATGTAGAATACACGGTAGGATTGAGGGCAATGGGCTTTGGGGGCGAAAGTGGCAAAGTGACGCTTACGCACCGCACAGAGCCGGAGGACGACACAGCCGAAGATTCCTTGTACGACATTTTGGAATCGACACATTGTGGCATGGGGGCTGCCGAAGAAGTGCAGCCAGCAGGTCCAGCACCTGGAGGTGCCTCATACTTTCCGGGAGTTGATGACGTCGATGGGTGCAGGGCGCGCTGTGAGAGCAACCGGCAGTGTGTGGCTTTTCAGGTCAACTCGGGAAACGCTTGTTGGCTCTATCGGAGGAAACCCCCTGCACAGCGCCTCGCCGCACGCCAATCCGACCTCGGCTGGTGGTGTGCCGTCCGGAGAGATTGATTGGCTTCGAGCTGCAAAAGAAGAGCTCACTTGCTGCCACAAAGGCCTTTTGCCGGTCATATATCATGGTGCATAACACTATGTTTTGCTTTTATCTCATGTTCTCAGGTATTGTCGTATATCCGTATATCACGCTGTTTTTTACAGTACATTATCGTACATAATCGTTTATTATGATGTATTATAGCATTACTGTTGCAGTCTGTTTTAGTAGTCTGTTAAAACATATATTCTAGTATACTCGCTTCTCATATAAGATATGATAGCAGAGATAGCATAGTATTGTACAGTGCAGTTTAGCAAAGTATAGTATATTATAGTTTCCCTCGCTTGTGCAGGTTTTGCAGGACATCTGGGCGGCAGGTGATGCCGCGGGGCTTGTGCAAGTGCTGGAGGCCTGGGTAGGCCAGGCTTCTCCGAAAAGTCTGCGTTTCGGATCGTCTGATGCAGGCATGTGGGGATGACTCCTTGACAGCAGCTTGCTTGAATCGTTTCGTGCTGCGGCACCGGCCACTTTACTGGGACTGGCATAGAGACCACAAGCCTTTCGAATTCGGGGCCAGGACTCCAAATCCACTTCCGGTACAGTCATTGGCGAGGCCGTGCCTTTTCTCCGCTTGTCATTTGTGCAGTTGCCAAATGTTTCCCTGAAGGCTGCTGCCGCTGGCGCAGAAACTCTCCCAGGCGGACTGCGAGGAGCTAGCTGGAGCCCTCCTATACGGTCCTTGGCATTGTGACTTCTTCTCTTCATGGTGAGGAGCATGCTGTGGCCGCTGTGCGCTTTGCCCTTCATAACTTGAGGGTGCCGCACCGCAGCAATGGTCAAGCTAAAGCGATCTCAAGTTCCGGAGAGGTCTCCTGGCCCGCCATCGCAAAGCTTCTCAGAAGTGTGTCAACTCCAAGAGTGCGGATCCCCGGGCCGTTTCCAAAGGGACCCTAAACCGTAAAGCTTTGCTTAGGTGGTCCTCGAGTCCTGCGAGGAGGCGGTGCTTCGCCTCCAGTCCTTGTGCGCCGGTTGCATTTCGCAGAGTGAGGGTGTTGGGGTCTAGATTATACTATACTACAATATGTACAATTATACTCTACTGCAGTTATACTCTACTGCAATACTACATGATTGCATTATGCAACACCATAAGATAGCTCTAATATACGACCATATAATTAGATCTTACATCATTTTCTACCATGTTGGAGTGATCAACATGGAAGCACCAGGTACTCCACGGTGAAGGCGCTCTCCCGATCGGTGAAGGTCTCGAAGACCAGCGGGCCGCTGGCCGCTTCCCGAGAGACGCAGCAGTTAGCCTTGCAGGCAATATCCCATGGTAGTAATTATAATGCTAATAATGGTAGTAATAATTAGTACTAACAATGGTAGTAATAATAAATACTAATAATGGTAGAAAAAGTTACAGTATATTCTGGTATCTTAGCGAACATGGTCATTATATGATGGTATCTGTTGGTACATGGTCATACGTTGTAGGGTACTATAGTATAGTAGAGCACGTAGCAGTCTTCTCTCATCGTCTCATCATGCCAGAAAGGTCCCGCTTTGCAAGAAGCTCAAAGTGAGCCTGGAGGAGGCGGGACGTGCCCAGGGTGGGTCTGCGGCACCCTGCCGTTTTTTGCCAGAGGCCCTGGTCGGTGCTGGACGGCTTCGCAGTTGAGTCGAGCTGATAGTGTGGACGCGGGCCCTCCAATACGGATGCCCGAGCGTGTGTGTAGTTGCTTGGGAGGTCGACTGTACTGGGTCATGTCGAGAAAGAAGAGGGTGAAGAGTTGAGATGAGGCTGCAAACTACTATTTGTCGGTCATTGTAGGTCCCTCTTGTGAGCTGACTTGAGCTACCGAACCTAGTACCGAGTCTCCAGACTTCTTTTGGTTGCCCGTGGTTGTCCTGCGCTGCCTTTGGCTCTCATGTGCTTGGCCCTCTTCTCGATCGGACACAGTTCGTTGTGGTGGGGTCCTCAACGGCTTCCAAGATTCTGGAGCCTCGGCCGACCTGCCGCAAGGTGACTTAATCCAGCTTCGATACTGGCAGGCGGGCTACCTGCGTAGAGCATGATATCCGCGGTCTGGCGATCTCTGTAGGCTTGTGCTGTGTGTGAAACTCAATGACAAGCCTTGCTCAGCTTTCAGGCGTGATGGGCCTCCGAGGCGTGCGCACCACCCGGCTGCAGGCAGGAATGAGTAGCATGGAGACAGAGTTAAGTGGATTTCTCAATCGGGTAGACTTGTGTTGGACCTCTGCTTAAGGCGCTTGCAGCCGCGGTGGCCGCGTGGTGTGCTGAGTGGGGTGGCGTGCAGCTATCTCGAGGATGCCAATCGATCTCAGGACCTGGTGCTGGGGCTGCTGCGGGGTGTTGAGCCAGGCCCCATCTCTCGCTCCGAGGAAGATTCTCTCCGAAGTGCTTCGGTGTTGCTTGTGCCAGGCATGGCTTCTGCCGCAGGCTGGGGAAACCTGTGCTGTGTGCTGCCGAAGTTGCTGAAGGCCCCTTGCTGCGCGAGGCACCTGCCGGCCGCCGTGAACTCCTCGGCGCGGGCTTGGCAGGCCCTGCAGAGCTCGCGGGCAGGTGGATGGGTTGGGGTTTGCGGTGCGCAGACTGCCAGGCTTGGGCTTGGCGATAGAGGCGCGGCGGCGCGGCACAGCCCGGTAGGCTGAGTCAGCCCTGCAGCCAGCATGTGCCCAGGCCGAGCCGGCTTTGGCAAGCGGCGGATCAACCGCTGCAACCTCGGTGTGGCAAAACGTGGCCATGCCGTACTTGGACACGTACGGAGGCCGGCAAATACTCCACGATCCCGTCGGGGAAGCGGAGGCAGACTGGAGGGCTTGACAACACGTCGCGGCTGGCTGCACAGACAGACGCCGTGATACGCCGTGCGAGGTTCTACGGGCGCGTTAAACAAGGCCTCTACCAGCCCACGGCTCAAAGCCAGGGAGGACGGAGGCACCTGGCAGGTGTCCGAGCCTGGCGACTTCTGCGAGGTACTTGCAGATGGAGCCGGCCATCAAGGCTGGCAACTTGAAGGCCCGGCCTTCACGGCGCGCCTTCGAGTATTTCCTGTTATCATTATTCTTGATACTACTATTCTTATTATTACTATTATTATTATTATAATAATTATTATTATTTTTATTTTTAATGGATACTACTATGGTTTTTACTATTTTTAATGATCTATACCCTCTAGAGTCACTTTGGGTTGGGAGTTCGAGGACCCCTTGATCGAGGATTTCTTCAGCCGGGGAACCGGGCTCCAGGCTGTTCTTCTTGGGTATGCAAGCTGGAGCAGACTGAGGCAAGAACATCATCAAAGTGAAGGGAGGCGAAGACATTAAGAACTGTGGCCGCATCCCCAGACTTTGGAGTCCAATAATAGTACTATCAATGAGACTAATGATAGTAACCTTAAATAGTAACTATAATAATCATATCAAGAATAATGACAGCAATAATAGCGATGTCTAGAGTTGGTACCTCGAGACCGGCCTTCAGTTTCACAGGCTTTGGCGCCAAGTGCAAAACGAAGGAGAAGAGGACCCGGAGAAGCAACCCTAAACCCCTAAACCCTAAACCCTAAACCCTAAACCCTAAACCCTAAACCCTAAACCGACTTGTGGCCGTGTAGTGTTGGTTAGCTGCTTTTTCGCACCTTGTGGCTCGGGAGTCTCAGAATATGGGGGACCCCATGAAAGAGACCTTAACCAGTAGGAGTCTCAAAGAAACAGCCTCGGAAAAGGGACACCGAAGATACACCGAAGATCTTGACATCCCCACTTGTCCGGCTGTCACTACCACGACCAGGACCTCTCGCTGGCTGGATTTCAAAACCGCCAGTGACCTGCTGGCAAGGTGCCCAGTCCACTGACTTCCAGAGGCAGAAATCTGGGCTTCACGTCTGAAAGCCGTGGGACTGAGGCTGGAGCTTTCAGATATAGTGCTGAGGACATTCCAGAATACCTGCCCCAGGTTCTGCTCATGCTCCTGCTGTGTCCGAGATGCTCCGGTAGACCCCTGTCTCCTGGGCAGGTGAAGATTATCCGATCCTTTGCGAAGAAGGCTCGAACCCACTGCGAGCACCCAACCCTGATCCCGTATCTCCCTTACCCCCCACAGCCTAGGCCCTAAACCCTTGACTCTAAACCCTAATCCCCCTTAGCCTTACTCATGCCTCTGAGTTTGCAGACAGGTGGAGAAGATGGAGGCGGCAATTGAAGCTGGCAATGCGGAAGAGGCCCCAAAGTATTGGGAGTTGCAGAAGCGAGGGTTTTAGGGTTTAGCAATTAAGGGGATACTGATTGACGGTTAGAGTGATGGTGGTTGTCTACCTCAGAGGGACGCTGATACGCTCCTGCTTTCAGAGTCACTCCCTTGCGAGGCTCAGCAGCTCTATGCAAAGTCCAAGCTGGACTTGAGCAGGCTGAGTGGGAAGCTTGTGCCGCCTTTGCTCCCATTCGGGAGGTTTTTAGAATGATTGGATCCCCAGACAAGAACCCTAAATCAAAGCATCCTTGTTACGAGGTTCCTTGATTCTCTGAAACTCCAGCTCAGACATTGTCTCACGAGGTATCTTCCGCAGGTAGAGCTCGAACCTCTGGATTCTCAGGCCTGGCTTTTCGATGACGCTTGCTCCAGGCTTCTAGCGTCTTGCGGTCGATCTGGGAGCATAAGCAGCCGGCTAGGACTACACCCATCCATGGGACACGCGTCCAGAGGCCAGAGACTGCAAGCTTGTTCTACCCTTCCTGAAGCCTAAGCCCGAAACCCCAAACCCTAAAGCCTTAACTTGTTACACAACTCCTAACCCCAGGGCTTTCTACAGATGATGCTGTCGAAAAAGGCCCTTAGACAAACAAAAAACACCTAAACCATCACCAGCTTCGAGAGACTTCGTCGTTGCGGTCAGGTGATCTGCCAGGGAACGTTCTGCGTGTGAGATCTGCTTTCCAGAACTTTGCTAGCATTGCCGCGGTCAGATTTCTGCAAGTACAAGTGCACTAACAGCCTACATGTTACATGTTATCTCATGTATGTAACCTACGATGCACTGCATTGTTATTTACCGTATAGTAGCCTTGTGGCAAGATTCGGCTGTCTTTGTAGAAGCCTGTTGCTCTCTGTTGAAAGCAGAGAAATCCGTCGATTGCAATTTTCCGCGGCCAAAGGCTCCAGAATGGACGGCCGCCAGAGGTGGATATTTGAACAGACGCCGCTGGGTATCTGTCTCTTTTTTTTTACAAACTCTAGACTTGCACTTTATGATGATCCCTTTCCTGCAATGAATTCCTCCTCTGCCCGTGTTTTCCCTCCTGTGTGAGCCAAGCTCACGCAGCCAAACTCTGAAGCCCGTCTTCCCAATTGGACTCTGTGCGTAAAACATGAGGGGCCTGTTTCGCACAATGACGAAACTGCTGGCAGCAGAATGGAGCATGACGCGTGCATGGACTCTTCCAACTTGACACTGAGTGACTGCCCGGCTTTGCTCAAAAGGTCTCGTCTAGAAGGATGTCAAGTTTACCGTCGCATCTGACTCAGTGATAAGCTAGTAGGTCGATCAGCACGCACAGACCGTCCTGAACGATTGCCGAGTATTTGCAGTGGCACGGCATGATATCTCGTGAGATTCTCTAATGCTGGTGTATGCCTCGGCTCATCCTGAACTTGCTTGCACTGCAGACCGCAGGGAACAAGCACATCGTTGTTTGCATGTCTGTTCTCGTCAATAATTGTTGTGATGTCTTGGAGCTTGATGCTGCGCTAACGTGCAATGCCCAGTTCTCAGCTGCTTATCTCATCACCCGAGCTGGGGCATGCATGGCACGGAGCTGCTTGAAAGCCTGGATTGATACAGTATGTCGGAGACGCATGTCCGCACGCTGCAGCTCTTTTTGCCCGGTGTGGCACAAACGGTTTATGCATTGCGACGCGCATGAACCCAAGAGTCGTTTTCAGGCAGACTGGCGCTCTTTCACTACGCATTAGGTATGTGATCGGTGAGAGGGTAGTCTTTGGGGTCTGTTCGGGTTCACGCCCAGTTCTAGAGGAGTCTTCTACGATAGATCCAGAGCATCCTCTAGCTCTTACCGCTTCGGTTGCAGTGACTAGAGATCTTCACTTCGTGGATCGATGGCACTGAGCTTCTTCAAGAAGGCGACAAGTCGCGGTGCCTCGGCAGCCTTGTGGGTGCAACGAGGATTTAGTTTTGCCTCTTACGTGCGTGAGCTGATTTTATTGGCTTCCTGGTGGTGTAGAGCTTCATGTGTGCGTACAGGGACTTTGAGGCCTTTGCATGCCTTTGCCGCAGGTTCCCCGACATGCGGCTTTTGGAAAGGAATTGGAACATGCGACCCTGCAGAAGGTGACAAACGTATCTGCGAGGGCAGCCGTCTGAGCACCACCCAGAGTCTCCAAAACCGAAAACTAACCGAGCGCCGTGCACTTTGCGCGGAAGCCCCAAAGCAACCATCTTAAACCCGAAACCCTCCTACTCTGGGGAGAGCTGCTCAGGCAAAGGGTTTAAACCGAGACCTATACTATTTTGGGGTTCCTTATTATTATTATTACTACTACTATTATTATTATTGTTATTACTATTATAATTCTTACTCTTATGGTATAATGGGCCCCAAAACCCTCCATCCCAGGTGCTCAGGAGATCGCTGCCTGGAACGCCAAAACCTACAAGTTCACCTTTGCCAACGAGTCGAATGGAGCGGCTGCTCGGACAGACAGCCCCCCACTCGGAGTTTATAGTGGTATAGGCCCAAAATCAGACACCCTATTCCCGAAACTGACCCTAAAACCCTAAACCCTAAACTCCGAAGCCGAACCCCAAGCCGCCCTGTATCCTCGATTTAGCTACCTACCTACACAGCCACTTACCTGGCTGCTACCTACCTCTCTGTTTACGTACTTACCTACCTAAGTGTTTTGACTGCAGCCCTGTCAAATTTCGGCCAGTGCTGACCTTGCGCTGACCTCTTTGAAGGGCGGCGCAGGACTGCACCCCGGCACCCCTCCTCCCTAAACCGTAACCCCTAAACCTACAAACCCTATAACCCTAAACCCGAAACCCCAAACCCTAAACCCTTAGCCGCTGAGCCCGAAACCCTTTGCACCGTCTCAGAGAGGTCAAGATTCTGCTCGAGGAAGATCCAGAAGGCTGGTTGAGGGTTGAGGGTTTAGGGCTTTAAAAGGTTGAGGGTTGACGGTTTAGGGCTTTAAAGGGTTGAGGGTTGGAGGGTTTAGGGCTTTAAAAGGTTGAGGGTTGAGGGTTTAGGGTTTAGGGTTTTAAAGGGTTTAGGGTTTCGGGTCAAAAGGGTTTAGGGCTTAGGGTGTAGGGTTTTGGGGGCAAGGAATGTGATGATACGATCTAGGGTTCGGGCTGGCCGGTATGCCTTAAATCAGGGAGGGATCCCCAAACCCACAACCCTTGATCATTGACCCTAAACCCTGGTATGAGGGATTCGGTGTTTCGGGGTGTGGTAAGACAAACCCTAAACCCTAAACCCCAAAACCCTAAACCCTAAACAGTGGCGGGAGTTTTGGGGAGACGGGACTGTTGGGTTCCTCTGGATGAATTGACGGATGGATCTGTCGCTCTCGCAAGGTGGACCCCAAGTTCAGCGAGGGATCGTCTAGGGTTTGGTTTTGGGGTTTGGGGTTTAGGGCTGCGTAGGAGTTGAGGGGACAGCTACTCATGGCCCTGGCTGGAGGTGTTATGAAGCTGGAGGAATGGAAAGTTGGAGATGGCATCCCGACCGTCGGAAAGGCCGGTCAAGTCCTCGACCCTGAACCCAGTGATGCTGGAGCCGCCTTTACCCTTAAGCCTACCCAAGCCCCATACCCTAAACCCTAAACCCCTACACCCCAAACCCCAAGAACCCCAAACCCTGTGCAAGACTACAGCCCATCAGGCCGAAAAGCGCCACTCACGTCGGGTGAGGGAGCTGAAGAAGTCAATCCTCGCCACCTCCAAGCCGTTTCAGGAAACGGTTTTGGGTTTGGGGGTTGTGGAGATTAGGGGTTTTACAGGAGATTGGGTTTTCGCAAAGCTTGCACATGCAAGTGTTTGAGACCTTTGTCCACAAGAAAACACCTGGAAATTGGCCTAAACCCTGTGCCCGCGAGAACCCTAAACGCCCGCAAGGAGTTCGTGTTGATTCGAGATCAGTTGAAGACGGTCCAGATGAGATCGCCTGTTTGCAAGTGTAGCGCCTCGCCCCAATTTCGAGGATCATACGGCGTCATCGCTGTGTGTATATGGGTGTTTCTGGGGCTTAGAGTTTTATCAGGGTGTCTTAGTCATGCCCTGTTTGGTAGGTTTTTTTTTGGAAGGATGCTTGCTACCTTGGATTCAGAACATTCGAGGTACTGCGACTCATGTAGGGGTCCGCGTGGCAAGGATCCTGTTGTTTTGGGTGCATACAGTCATAAAAAGTTTTGTTTTCTGAGACTCCCGAATGGTAAGTGGGCTTCATCTTCGCCAGAAGTTCGATCATGTAAGCGCTCTGCCATCCGAGGCATCGCGCTGACGGAGTGGAATGGATCTTTGAAGTTTCTGGGCAGCGTGTTTAGCGTTTTATGCTCGTCTATCCTGGTCCTTAAATTTTCCTAAACCCAAAACCCTGTAAGTTAAAACCGTAAACCCTGACCTTTCGATTGAGGATTGTGGAAGTTCAGCGGCAAGTTTCGGAGACCGAAACTTTTGTTGTTCATCCTGGATATGCGAAGAGCCCAGGCCAGGGCCTCGCAGATTGTGGGATATAAAGTAAATGTAATTGAACAAAGAAGTATCTATGAATCTATCTATCGATCTGTCTATCTGTCTATCTGTCTATCTGTCTATCTGTCTATCTGTCTATCTGTCTATCTGTCTATCTATCTGTCTATCTATCTATCTATCTATCTATCTATCCATCTATCTATCTACCCATCTATGTATCTATCGATCTACCTATCTATCTAGCTATCTTTCTAGTCTACTACTTATCTATCTATCTATCTATCTATCTATCTATCTATGTATGTGTAGACATGTACCTTGGTACAGTATGATACATGTAGTCTGTTACACACATACATACGTACGTACGTACATGCAACATACATACATACATACATACATACATACATACATACAAAAATACATACAGAAATACATACAAAAATACATACAAAATACATACAAAATACATACAAAAATACATACATACATACATACATACATACATACATACATACATACATACATACACACATACATACATACATACATACATACATACATACATACATACATACATGCGTGCTTGCACACATACATACATGTACACACACACACACATAAGAATACATACAACTAAATATGCCTGTAAGCACATATGTATATGCGCACACGTACAAACTCATTTTTAACAAATATGATGAGTGCTATATCTGCGCTTTGTGGTGTGACGGTCGCATGCTATGCGATGCACAGGAGGGAAGGAGGGAGGCATTGCCTTTCTGTTTGCCTGTACTCTACAGCCCCAGCAGGATATTTCACTCTCCGTGCCGATCTTCTCGAGCATGCACTGCGAGCAGTTGGCTTGCAGCTGCCCGGCAACATGTGTTCGCCATCTGCTGTGCTCTGTTCTCCGTTCGGTAGACTGTGCAAGGCTCGGATTCGACCTGAAAGACCTGAAAGATGACGAAAGCGAGATACCAGACAGCACTGCATCAAAAAGAGCATCAATCGCAGACGTGTCGAGCTTAGCGGCAACAACCATCTCAACTGGCGAAGTTGAGTCTGCCGCGAAGCTGCACGCGAAAGTGCCTATTGCAAGTTCGATTGGCAGTGAAGCGGAACGGACTCCATCTTTTGAAGGTTCTGCTCCCTGACTGCAATGTCGTGCGACGTTCACTGCTTCCTATACTGCCGAGCTGTGATCGGAAGCTTTTGCGGAGCTGCCCTAAGCCCTAAACGCCAGCGGCCCCAGCGATCTGCTAAGGTCAGCTTCCACTCCGGCCTCCCGCACTCGAGACATCTGCCTGCTGTCGAAGAGGCATCCTCGGATTTGCACCGAAGTTTGCAGGAAAGCCGGTGGTGAGTCTTATTATTATGATGCAAATATATTCTAGGTTTATGATCCTTGCTGTCATCATTATTGTAGCTGTTATTACCGGTATCATTGTATCATAGTATTACTAGTCTGCGACTATGATCAGGGCCGTAAGTTCACAACACCTCTGAACAGGAGAGACGGGCTTGCATAGGGGTGCACCCCCTCAGCATTTTTAGATTATTCTGCGGCAGTTGAATGCGTCGTCACACCGCTGGTGGTGCTGCGAGCAAGCTGTCCGCAAGTGCAGACTAGTATTCAATCACCGAATCGAAGAGCACCTTGATTACTCACTGTCGTACCTGAGTACTGGTCGACACAAAGTCCAGTCGGAAGATTTGTGTTGATGCGAGCGCCTGTATCCTACAGGCCACATCAGAGTTTTAATCTAGTGCTTGGTGTTAGAGGAGTCGATTAGCCGAGACAAGGACAGCTCCCAGGCATGAGATCCCATCCCCCTGCCGCGCATTTGCAGATTTTACGGGAAAAGTGTGGGCATGTCACAATGACCAGAAGAGCCGCGTGTCAGAACTAGACTGTATCACAGTGTATTGTATTTCTTTATAGACTACATTGGGGATCTTTTTGAACGTCCACGAGCCACACTTCGGCCTTCCGCGTGTTCCTGATCCTTGAAACCCCATTCAAACCCAGAACCCTACTTCAACCCGAAACCCGAACCCTGATAGAAGCCGAAGTCCCCAACCCTGAGTCAGCCCTAATTATAATGACAACAATAAAATTAACAGTAGTACTATCAGTAGTACTAGGTATTAGCATCATGAAATCCTGCTAAACCCTAACCCTAAACCCTAAACCCTAAACCCTAAACCCTAAACCCTAAACCCTAAACCCTAAACCCTGGAGGTCCCCAGAGAGGAGCCTTGGAGGACCCAGCAACCTCGGCCGCCTTCCGCGGGCACGGCCGCCGCGGCTTCTAAAGGCGAAAGCAACAGGGCACGAGTGTTGGAGTTACTGTAACTTGTAGAGGGTGCAGGGTTCTAGGCTTTAGGGGTTTGGGTTTCAGCTCTGAACTGTGCAGCCGTTAAGCCTGAAATCCCTCTGCCGAGGCATGCCAGTTGGGTTTCTCCCTATCCAGGGACAGGTCTTGCTGCACAGCAGCCGCAGATGGCTACCTGCCAACTTGGAATCCCGGCTAAATCGCTCTGGAAGCATTTCTTGAGTCTTGGGGTGTATGGCGTATGATTTAGGCTTTAGGGTTTTTGATGAGCATGGTTTAGCCATGTAGCCAAGGTGGGTGTCAGCATTGGCATGGGTTCGGTTGAAGGCTGCCTCTACGTGGAGTACGCAGATCCATCCGGGCGCCCAAGGCGCCAGATGATACTGCCGGACCAGATCCCTCGAATGCTCCGAAAGGTTTAAATCGCCCTTACCAGAGCTCTTGAGCCGTTTACTTCCCTTACAAAGCCTTACAAAAACATTATGAAAACTCTATGAACAGGTTCTTAGCGTCCTTTGTTTCAAGCATTTGCTTCTGGCTGCTCCATTGGTGGCCTGCGGCGTTCAGCCGCGTGACTGAAGTCAGCTGTATGCTTAGTATTTCAAGTTCCGGTCCGGTATTTTAAACCCTTGGAAAGGTTCCAGGACACAGCACAGCTCCCTGCAAAATACAAGTGCCTTAAGGGCATGGCAGGGTCACTTTCAGATGCCGTCTCGGTTGCGATGGTGCATTCTGTTCCTCTATGCAAACTCGTCCAATTTTCTGGGAGTGTTTTGCATCTCCCGCCTTTTCTCAGACTCTTCTATTGAAGACAAGATCAGACGAGCGTGAGAGTGGCGGAAGACTGCCAAGCAAAACAGTATCAGAGTGTGTGTTGGTTTGCATCATTTTCTTTTAGTCCTTGCGCTTCAGGATCAGAGCTTGCATGTTGCTGAGCAGCAGACGCTGTTCCTCTTGCCATGGTGATGTGAGAAATGATAACAGGAGTCTTCACCCAGCCTTCTTGGCTCAAGCCGAGGCTTTTGTTCTTCTGACTGATACAAATGCCAGGGCCGCTGTGGGTCCAGGCGTCTTTCGTAGTGTGATCAGCGAATCAGCTCCACCACAAGATATTTGGTCGAAATGTGGGCACCGAAAGTCCTGCTGTTCATCTGCTTGCCGAGATATTCTGCTGCAGCAGTGCATGCGCGAGTTGATGCGGAGGGCAGCATTACAGAAGCTCGAAGAATGATGAGAGTGGAGGAGGCGTCGCTTCAGCGAGGTGACATGTCCAAGGGACACTTAGCGATAGGCTCCCATGGAGCCGTCGACACCGCCGCCACCACGGTCACCAGCACCAGAACCGCCTCCCTCCGGTCCGTCACCGGAAAGCCCTTCGCAGTAGCAGATGAGGCTGATGAAGCCTTGAATGCAGGAGCCCTAGCAGCCGCAGAGCTGCGTGGAAAGGGTCAAAAGCCACATCAGCAAGCCATCGCCGCGGCAGACGCGGCGGCCCGAGCAGCCAAGGCTGCCGGTAGGCCCTTTGAGCAGGTCGCCTTCGCCTCAGCAAAGGCAGCGGCCCTGGCCGTGCAGACGGCAGGTGGCTCTTTACAGCAGGGCTGCGTTGAAGCTGCGCGTGCGGCGTCCTACGCTGCTAAGACCGAGCAGACCGTGGCGATTCCTGCGGCATCGAGCAATGCCGCCTTTTCAGCACTGCGGTCCATGGGCCTGCCAGACGGCGAGATGACGGAGTGCCTGGCGCTTGCAGTAAAGACGGCCTGCAAAGCAAACGGCACACAGCCAGAGTCCCTAGCAGAGTGCGCTGGGTCCACGGCCATGGCGGCAGCACAACACGCAGGAATGACGGAAGATGAGCAAGCCGAAGTCGCCGGAAAGGCAGTGCAGGTCATCACGGTCGTCACCGAGAGCCCTGAGCCAGAGGCTGTGGAGACCACGGAGAATCCGGAGCTGCAAGTCTTAATCAGAGAAGTGGAGGAGGCAAAGAAGGCTGCGCAGGACGCCGCGATTGCAGCCGGCATGGCCCATGTAGAGGCTGAGAAGGCCAAGGCTGAGGCGAAGGTCGCGACGACGACGACGTCGCCGCCGACGACCACAGTGCCGAGCAATGCGACCTTTGAGACGGAGGTCATCGTCACAGAGGCTCCCCAGCCTGTTGGTGCCTGAGTCACGACCATTCTGAAGTGAATTAGACCTGCACTCCAAGTGGGCCTTGTTTGCCTGTGAGTCCGTGAGGCATCTGCGACCGCCGCACCTTCCATGACCACTCCCGCACAGACACGTCGGCCATGCCCAGACAGCACCCGGGCTCCTAGAGGAACCTGGGTGGTCTACAATCTAAGTGGGGGAGCCCAGCATGCACAGATATTGCGACTCACGGCAGCGAAGCGCTGCGATGCTGCCCAGGTGCCACGCCCATTCTGCACTCCTGCCTCGTTCGATCCGTCAAGGACAGGGTGCCGGACGAGTGTTGCTCCGCGAACGGTGCCGAGAACATGGTTCCTGGGCGCATGGCATGAGCAAGGGGCATTTTGTCCACACGTAGGCTAGCCGTCAGCATCCGCATGCCATGCCGATACGACTTTTGGTGATCACAGGTGGGTGCGACCTTCCAGGAGCTCTACTATTCCAACGAATATGGCACCTGTCCTACGCTCACCTTCGCTGGTCCGCTTGCTGGTACCAGGGTCAAGTTGCAGTGCAACTTTGACAACACCATCACCTACGGAGAAAGCAGATGTGGGGCAGATTGCAGCTGCGCCTTCGAAGACGTCTACGGGCCTGGTTGCTACAGGGCAAGCGATGCCCTGCCGGGTACTGCCTGGTTCTTCATGACGGCTGGATGTGATTGTACTGATGCCAAGGCAGCTCCGACCACCTCTCGCAACAAACACCAGGGCCAGGGCGTTTTCGGTTTTTTGTTCGCTACTGCCTTCTTGTCAGGCCGTGCAGCCGCATCAGCCTCCCGGCTGCAGACCTCAGCTGCGCAGATCTTCCCCCGCAGATTTCCCTGCTCTGTGCGAGGTTTAGCTTGCCACCCCTTGACCAGAACGTCAGAGCTGGGGACATCTTGAATGTTGGACCAGAGGAAGCCGCGCGCTCATGGGCCCGCTCCTGGTGCAACTTGCTCCTAAGTCGCCTCTGCAATTCGCTGAGGCCGCGAAGGCGATGAACCGACAGCGGCAGCAGTTGCTCCGGCCCCAAATTGTCCCTTTTCTGCCTCCAGCTTTCCTTTTTCCATGAACTGAGAGAATCACGGAGGCGAACATTCCACGACGAGATGGTGAAGGACGAGCAGGTGCTCGCTGGTGTTGTCGGAAAGCTCTCCAGCGGCAAGCCGTGGCTCGGCTCGAACGGGTCCTAAGCCCTCCAACAAGGGAGCTACCTCGGTGACCATTTCGGAGTGCCCTGCACGTGGCTGCCCCTAGTGCGTTGCTGCCCAGGATTGCCGATGCCATCTTTGGAGCCTTGACTAACAAATATACATATATATATATATATGCTTTCTGTTTATATGTATATATATATATATATATGTATGTATGCGTAAAGTGTGAGATAAATTCAATACAGTTCACGTGGCATCAGCCTCCCAGGCATGGACACCGGTGAACTACCAGAGCAAGCAACGAAACGGATGCTGGAAGTAGCAACTCAGACTCCTGCCGCAGCCAGCTTTTGCGTGCCCGCCCCCCCCCCCCCATCCTCCTCTCCCTTCCGCGCTTCGACCGTCGTCTTTTCGGTGCCGTCTTTCACGGTGCCTTTTCCAAGGGATCCCGCCACCGCCAAGTATGCCATCAACGCCACGGTGTCCATCATGGGCCACGCTTTGTCGACCCTGAAATCCGGCGCCTCGGCTCAAGGGGGAGCGCCTTGGGTCCCAAGAGCCGTGGGGGGAGGAGGTGGGGGAGGGGGAGAGTGCAAGGACGACGCATGTACACTTGAGTGTACTCAGGCGGTCCGTATGCAGAGGTATGAGTTCATGTTTCTGTGCGTTTGCCTGTGTTTGGTGATGCTTGCGCATGTTTACATGGTGATGTTGCTGAATGCTCAATATAGTCATCCAGCTCTACTTGGTTCTAACCATGTCGCAACAAACTTCTACAGTAGCAATATAGGGTTTTGCAGTTTGTAGCTGTTGCTTAAGCTATCTGCATGGCCAAACGACCGAGTAACAAACGACCGACAAACACCTAAAACACAACGGCAAACACAAAAGCATGGTCGCATCCACGAGTGTCAGCAAGCAGCTGAACGACTCTAAAGCCTAAGCCTTAAACCTTACTTGCAGTTCAAGACCGTGCGCGCACACTTGTGTGCACATGGAGACATACGCTCTTACATGAATGTGGAGGCATTGGAGTATTTACTCGTTTCACCTATGGTTGGGGCCAGTTGATCCGATTTCCTTAGTCCCAGCCCTGATACCACAGTCTTTGTTTTTGTCAGAACTCTTGGGTGGCTTGATGACATCGTAGTTGCTATAGAACCTCGTATCAGGAAGGTTGTACGTGCTCCGCGCGAATTGAAAGTCATCGCATTGCAGCTGAGAATATTTTGGGCTTTGAGGTGTTTGATGTTATGTTCACAAATTTCTGAGTCCCCCTGTCCTTCGTCCCCGGCATGCTTCTGCCTGTCCTTGTTTTTGGTCTTTCTGGCTGACATTTCGACCGTTACGAGGCCTTTGTACGTGTCGAAGCTGTTTCACGACTTCGGAAAACATGTGTAGCTTTAGCTGTTGCAGGTTGTGGGTTTTTAGTAATCAGTGTTGAGCTTCTGGAACTGTTCAAACGCGTCTTTGAACGATTGAGCCGCAAGCTTTCAAACCAGGTCTTTCCATGGCCCCTCCCTTTTCTTGGGGCCCGGGTCATGATGCACCCAGATTCGAAGGTGACAAGTTACATTGAACCGCAGGTGGGATACCACCTAGGCCTAGGCATCTAACTTTAGGAGGCCAAGAGCTTTCAACATAAAACACAAGCCGCTGATCATACCACATGCGTGGACCAAGGGGTCTTATATGATGGTGACTGAACTTGCTTGTGTTCGTTCTCGTCTTCGTCTTCATGTGCATTTTACGTACAAGGCCGATCTCTTTGGTGGCAGAATAGCTCGACCCAGCGTCCGCCACACTACTCTTCTCGAAATCTACTCGCTCTGGGTCGTTGAGCACAGCACTAGGTGGATGCTACACGAGGGTTACCATCAAGCGGAGAAAGCATCACGATCTCCTGAGCCTAGCCGATGTGCATGCGAGCTGTTGGCTTACCTTCCCTGCCGAGGCAAGCCACTGGCAGATGCAGTGTTTGGTGGAGACACGAGCCACCTAATCCAGCCAGCTCCCGAGCAGTTTGCTCGAGCACCTGCTTGGGCTCCTGGAAGCCCCAAACCCCGGAATCCCCTGAAAAATCTTACCGTACCCTGAGGCCACACCTGCTCCAGAACCCGATGGTGCCTGGGCTCAGAATCTTCGGAGAGAAGAGCTTTTGCAAGTCTGAAACGAGCTGCGATGTCAAAGCCACGTCGTGTCGCACACGCTTGCGCTCCGGTATGTGCGTGGCAACTCTGAACAACATCGCGTGCCCCCGAGCAATGCCCGAGACTCCAAGACTCATGGTTTAGGGTTTATTAAGGGTTTAGGGATTAGGGCCTAAAGTTTTGGGCTTAGGGTTCCCAGACTTCGCCGTAACCCTGCGCCCAAATCGGTTCCACGGCAGTTCGCCGCTTGTGGAAGCATCGACGGAAGCAGCGAGAAGCACCCCGGAAGTAGCCTGTGCGAAAGGCTCCTTCTGAGACTTCTCCCTGTAGTAGCTTGTTTAGCCGTTTCGATCTCGAACTGATCAAGTTCAAAGAGTGCTTGCAGTGTCATCAGAGTTTCCAAGGCTCATGGACCAGGCCTGCGGGAGCTGTGCTCTGGAGTATGGCAGTGCACAGCAGGAAGGCGGCAAGGAGGCATGGGAGCTTCACCCCTCTCTGGCAGGCGAGCAAGACTTCTCTTTACCGTTGTCCTCCTTCGGAGGCTGGGGTTTTGCGTAGCTGCGGCAGCTGAGCTCTGCGATGACGAGCCTCTGTCCGTGTGGCAGGGAAGTTGCCAGACTTTCACAGCGAGGCAACCGGTCAGCCAGTCCCTGGTCTCGCAGCTATTGCCTGTCTCCTCTAAGTCTTGTGTTTGTGGTGCAGCTGCTGCCTAAAGCCCGACCGAGGTCGTTGAGACTGTGCGCTTTGCCGGGGAGTTCAAAGCCATCATTGGGGACAACGTCCAACAATTTCTGCAAGAGTGCTCCGAAAAGCTCAAGCCGGTGAGTTGTAAAGACGCGCAGCCCGGCTCGGTGGTCGTCACGCTGTCTGCGGCCAACTGGGCAGATCTCCACACCGCGAATGCCCTCATTGACCAGGGGGGCTTCGAACTGCCAAGCTTTGGCAAGTTCGAGAAGGAGCAGGACCGTACCTAGAAGGGCTATGCCCAGGGTAGTCTGAGTCATTGCACCAGTCGCAGTCCTCAGAAAGGCTTGTTACAAACTCGCACAGGAGAGTCCCAAGGCTGGACCGAAATCGGTTTCTTGGCTTCAAACGGGATTACAGTACCTACAACCCATGACAGCCCGAAAACTGAAATCTTGAACCCTAAACCCTCAAAATGGCTTGGTACCCCGAAAGAATGCTTGCCTTTGCTCGAAACGCCGAGGCCAAGGAGGCTTTCGACGCTGCCGAAGCTACGCTCAACTTACTCCCTGCTTGTGTTGATACCCCTAAAGTAACAGGACTGACA